TGCTGCCCACGAAGACTTGCTCCAAGCTCCAAACTGTAGCGACTCCAAGTTTAGTGTTTTATATTTGCAACGATAATTATTGTTGGGTCTCAAGGGTCTGGTGTACCTCCTAACATATATCTTATTGTTCTCTACCTAAAGAGTTTAGCAAGTGCATTAAAGTAAATAATGAGATAAGAAGAACAACAAATTGCAGGAAACTTAAACAAATTGCTAGAAATTCGGTATAATAAAATCATAATAAAAAAAACACGAATGAGTAAAATAAAATACGATGTCACGTATATAGGACCAGAAGTATGTGACATACGTGACATTGAGAATGTTCTCAATTGCCAGAAGGATTTGAGTGTAAGGCTTAAGCTCAAATCCCGGAGCATTGGGTTTCACTGTAGAATAAGTTATGGCGGGAATTTCACTATTTGATTTAATTAAAATGAAGTTATAAACCACATCTTCGTGTATCCTTATTTTTAGTATTTTAATTGTCTTGTGAATTAAGGTCAAGTGTCTAGTTTCGTTATTCATTTGAAAATTAGGTAAAAGAACTTTCACCTAGGGTGTGCTCATAAAGTCTAGGAAGCCTACACTTTAACTTGTGCTTGTAGTGATTTAAGATGATTTGCTTTCAATGAAGTGTTTTCCAACTATTCCTCAAATATTTTTTTAGTATTTTCCAAATAATTAAATCAGAAATTCTGATTTTTGACTTCATCATTATAATAAAAACAAATCAACGGAGGAAGAGGCCGACCCACTTCTAAAAAGAAATCAACAAAGCAAAAGGGCAAAAACCGCAAGTAAATCGGCCTAAAGGCGTTTAATTTTTTTTCAAAACAATTATCAAATCAGTCACAAAAGGTGCTTAAAAGCCTCCATAAATCAGCACTTAAAGTGCCCAAATCAATGTATGAAAGCCTCCACAAATCCTCTCAAATTGACACAAAGATAGAGCGATCCAAAACACTTGAAAGCAGACACTTCTTTTTTTATTGAAGCAAGCGAAGTCTCCATAACAGATTGCAATCTCATGCAATTGGTCTAATTTGACCAAAAGGGACCAATATAAAATGCACAAGTTTCCCCTAAATACAGCATTTAGGGATTAATGCATGGTTACCCGACATCACAAAAAGGTTTATTTCCATGTGTCAAACTTTTGAGCGCATAATCAAAAATAAAAGCAGGGTAGATCCATAAAAATTCAAACAATAATAATAATGATTTCATTGGTATGCCATCTTTGAAACGCCGGAATTAATTAGTCCTTAAAAGTACTACCATTATCAGTTTAAACAAAAAAAGAAAAAAATCAAACATAAAATTACTAATGTAAACCCCTAAAATAATATGATATAAAAAATTTGCCATGGAAAATGCATTATCTTAAGCGACAACCAGAAAACAGTCAGCT